TTTTTTAAATTAGTAAGTGAAAAAACTAAGCTTAGCATTACTACTTTCGTTTTTTGCCTTTGGGCAGGGTGAGGCATGCAAGCGAAAGGAAAGGGCACATCAAGAAAAAAAGACAGCATTTTAATTCACATCTGTTCTATAAAGACCTGAGTAGCTTGTGGGTTTTTTGTTTTGTTTTTTTTAACCTTTCTAAACTAGTAAGAGAAGGATTAAACTCTTCAACATACAAACACTGATGGATGGACATATGTCTGATACTCAATAACCTACATAAACGTGAGATCCCATAAAAGGAGAAGAGAATTGCAGGGAACCTTGGTGTTTCTAGAGCCCACAGACTGGATTCCCTTTGGTGAATTTTTTTTTTTAAGATTTTATTTATTTATTTGTCAGAGAGCGAGCGAGAGAGAGCAAGCACAAGCAGAGGGAGCGGTAGACAGAGGGAAAGCAGGCTCCCCGATGAGCAAAGAGCCCAATGCAGGACTTGATCCCACTCCTGGGATCATGAGCTGAGCCGAAGGCAGACGCTTAACCGACTGAGCCACCCAGGCGCCCCCCTATGGTGAATTTTGATGGGGAGTTTAATTATAATCTTAGAAGGGTCACAGGTTATTGCTCTCACCAATTCCCACCAGGGCTTGCTACATCATTATTCAGCAGTTATTCAGCTTTTGTTACTATAACAATAAAAGGATAAGGCTAAGCCACAGCCTGACTCACAACAGGAGTCATAACATAAGAACCAGGAATCACAGACCTGTGCAGCCGAGTATTCCAGCTCAGCATACAGCTGAGTGGGATTTGAGGGAAAAAGGCTTCGGAAGCTACCCAATGACTTGGCCTGCAGACCCCAGAGCTGGAGTATTCTTGTCTTCTGTCTGAAACACAGTCATTCTGGACATAATGAGTTATAGTAACTAATAATAAGGACTTTACCCTGTTAGGTCATCAACACTCAGCAAAATAAGACCCAGACAAAAGTTTACGTGAATTGTCGGTCTACATGAAGCAAGTTCACACTTTCTTCAAAACCCCTCTACACAGGGGCTTTAGCAAGGGGCACCTGGGTGGCTCAGTCAGTTAAGTGTCTGCCTTTGGCTTGGGTCATGATCCCAGGGTCCTGGGATGGAGTCCTGCATGGGGCTCCCTGCTCAGCAGGGAGCCTGCTTCTCCCTCTCCTCCCTGCTTGTGCTCTCTAAGATCTAAAACAAAACAAAACAAAACACCCTGTATACCAAGACTGCTCTGATTCATTCCCAAGAAGGTATGTGGCCTGAGGGAAAAGATGAATGTTTTTTAAAACCTAAGTCAGACATAACTTTGTAGCAATACCAAGTTACCACTGCATTCCTTCATTCATTCACTCATTCTCAAATTACATCTCTGAATCCCAACCATCAGCCAGTGGAAATGAACTCTTAGGGAGTCAACGAAAATTCCTCCTGGCTCATAAAATCAGTGAAAAGGGAAGGAATGCAGAAAGGGCAGAAGAGCTTGTGACGCCAATACTCGATGCATCTGAAAGAGTCACACCCAGCAATTTCAACCTCTCTGTGAAGCTTGTCGCAAAGCACAAGACCATCAGCAGACTAGGGTTTGGTGGTTTTCTCTACCCACTTGATTCAACCTAACAGCTACATTTTCTACATAGTATCAAAGAAATAGTTTTTACAGTGTTTCTAAGTGAAGAACAACAATGAAAAACACTCTCCCCTTCCCTACAACCTGCATGAGACTTCAGCCATTTTTCACTAAATTTTTCAGAATAGAACGCTTTGGTTTGTTGCCTTAGCATATCTGTCTCTAAATCTGTGACTATCTTTGTATTTCCTACTCAGTCATTCTAACTGCTATAAATAAAGACTGGTAGTAAAATCGTAGTCAGCTTATCTCTGTGAAGCAGTTAACTAGGGGAAAGAAAATAAACCCTCGTTTCTGTACTTCTTTTCTTGTTGAGCAACTACCACAAACCAATCTAAGACTCTTTCTTTTTTGATAGAACTGGTTCATCCAAATTGTAGACAAGTCGGATATATACACTCATTAATGAAGGGCTGAAGCCCTTCCTAACCTAGTGATCGTAAAGCAGTACAAAGAGTCTCTGTTGAATCTAAATTCCAAGATATAAAACTTAAAGCACCATTGACTCCGAAGTGCTTTGTTTCAGTTCCTCTTCTGTGTGGATAGCTATACTTCTTAAGACAAGGTTATGTCAAATTTTTTCTTGCCATCAGAGAAACAATGATCCGTTAATAAGCTTGGCAAATAATCCTAGATTTCTCACATCAACAGCCCTATGGTTATCTAATTTGCTGGTAAAGTGAAAAAATCAAGTCATTAACAGCTTTGCTACATACAGTTGGTATCTTAAGGAAGAAGGAAGAGATTATGGAAGACTATGCCATATACCCAGCATCCTATCAGTTACTGGATTTGAGGTGAGTTTTTTTTTTATTGATAAACCATTTAAAATGTTTCATCAAACTCTGCAGGTTTTTGTTGATTCTGGATTTTGTGAAATAAATAAAACTCCAATATCTGTCATTCTAGAGATTAAGGAGAAAGGAAGTGAAGGACAGACTTCTATCCTGAAATGTTTCATTCCACATGAGCCATAATGGGAAAGATTAAAATGTTTCTTTCTGCACTGAACTGTGTCAGTTTTACACCGTGGCCAGTCACTGTTAGGTATCCAACATGACTCCTCTGTATTTGTGGAATCCTTCTCTTCACCTTTAGAGTAACTGGGAAATCATGAGGATAGATAGAAGAAAAAAAAAAACCTACTTATCAGTGTGGTCAGCTAAGACCACCTAAAATTATTGATTTAAGATACCTAAGAGCAAAGAGGGAGTTGAAGTCATACTTAACTGACCACCACCCGACTTGGACAAACAGATAACTCGTGAACACTTTGGAGCCAGATCCTTACAGTATAAGCTCCTGTCAATAATTCACCCTACCCTGGAGACTGGCCCAAGGCCTAAAGAAATTCAGGAAACAAAACACAACACTGCAAATAACGAATACGTTTTCAAGATCGTAGGAAGGGGAAGAGAAAGTGTGTAAGATCTACCGAAACAACTGGTCTGACTAGAAATGAATTCCAATTAATTGCTAAGTATATGTCATCACCATATTCTAAAAAAAGAAAAGGCAATAACGCTTACGAAAATTTTTTGTTAAAGTGTTGTTTAATTAAAAATTATTAAAATTCACTAAAGAATATTAGGTTCACTGAAAGTGATAAGCAGCAGCTCATACCAAAATGTTTTGAAGTTTAAAAAAAAAAATGTGTGGCCCTGAGTATTATTTTCTTATGTGGATGCTGTCCTCATCACCCCAAACACCTATTTGGGGACTCTAGAACTGTATGAATAACAAAAATAGGGACTACAAAAGGTCCTGATGCTACTTCTTAGAATTTCATAGGAGGAAAGGATTTTTTTTTTTTTAATTATCTGAACCAACTTCATAGCCTAGAGTTAAAAGTGAGACCAGAAAAGCCAGAAGACTCCCCCGTGGTTATAAGGATCTTGGGCAGCAGAGCTGGGGATCAGGGTCAGGATTCAGATCCAGATCAACTGGGTGACAATCCATTACTCTCTCCTATCACTCAGCTGTCCTTTCTTGATAAGAAACAGATAAAAACAGTATAAAAGTGAAATTCTGTCTGAACACTCAAATGTATTTTTCTAATGTACATCATTCATTACCACTTCCTCTATAAACCTCTCTCTTTAATTGAGTGGACAGCAAGTGACCCAGTACCTATATAATGATTTCCATCACTTCTCCCTAACTCTTCAATCGGCTGGGCTCTTATACCGAAGTAGACTATTTACCATTTTGTTAAGCTTCTACTAAAGAAAGACAATGATTTTTATATGAAAGAAACTATATCCTGATTTTTAATCAACCAAGAAATGTATTGATGGATAAAGTTTATGACATGTTAATTTTAAGAAAACTTCTATAAAGAAAAAAAGTAACATTTAAGTGAATTTAGAAACTTACTTTTTACACTAACCATGAGAATCATGCTTAACTTGATTTTTAACTTTGGCTCTCCTTCTACCTATCTACATCAGATTTTGGAGTGAAATGCAATTCTCAAAGGATTTTTCCTTTTCCTTGATAATGCAATAAAATTCTTTACAAATATGTTTCAATTAAGAGCTATTACTAATTAAATTAATAAATTCTTCCAAAATGGATGACATAATCACCCTTAAAGAACACAGTAAATGTAGTGTTATTCTCTTTATGTAAGCTCCATCATTAAAATTAGTTCAGCATAATACCATCCTTCTCATGAAAATATTTTTCCAGAAGACTGGCCTCTCTCTCCCACCACCCTGCCTCCATCTACCATTCAAACTACAAAGTGAGAACTTCCAGTCCTGTGCCCCATCTACCAACTGCTGTGCTACTTCAGGACTGCAACTCTTGTTCTTGATCATCTCTGTGAATAGTACTGTTCAAACTTCAACATAGGACAAAGATGTAACCATTTCTTGCAAGCTGGCTCCAGCAGAAGTAATGAAAAGAAAGCAGATGGGTAGCAGAATTCAAACAGTTAAAAAAATAACCATGCTGGGACGCCTGGGTGGCTCAGTTGGTTAGGCGTCTGCCTTCAGCTCAGGTCATGATCCCAGGGTCCTGGGATCGAGTCCCACATCTGGCTCCTTGCTCAGTGGGGAGCCTGCTTCTCCCTCTGGCTGCTGCTCCCCCATGCTCCTGCTCACTCCCTCTCGCTCTCTCTCTCTCTCTCTCACACACACACACACACACACAAATAAAATCTTAAAAAAAAAAAATGCCTATACCTTTTCTATACAGGAAAGGACTTGTTTCTACATACCCACCAACCACCCCATGTCCAACTAAAAGTACTCTTGAAAAACAACTTTCAGATCAATATAATTTCATCTGTTTGGTACTCAGGGATTTAAATAAAAATTTCTCTGAGATTTTAAAACAGAACTGAAGTTTCAAACCTGTTGCTGAGTTCGGTGTGATCAGTGCCCCTTCCTACCCTGGCACGTTTTTGAGTCTTTGGGCATAAAAGTGCCTTGTAAGTCCTCTCAGCACCAGAACCGGCATTACACACACATCTGGCTGAATCCTGCCAGCCCCCTGGCCGATTTGCAGTCTTCGAAGAGCCGCCACACATCTCCTGGGTGGTTGAGCTTTCTTCTGCTTTATCCTGACTATCAACATGGACCTGGGACACAAACGTTGAAGATTCTCTGTTGTTTGAGGGATATTCCACACTGACCAGCTGTCCTAAATTATCACTGTACTCCCTATACGGTAGGTGAGGCAAGCTACTTGGCAGCAGCCTACTAATTTCCTCTTTCAAAATTAAAAAAAAAGAGAGAGAGAGAGAGAGAGAAAAAGGAACATTCATTTGTTACATAAATTAAGCCTGCCAAAGTATTAGGAAGTCAGATGTATCCATCATGTTATAAAATACGCTCTCAGCAGGACCATTATAAACAGTCAAATCCAAATCCCACTTCCTACTTTTGTTCCTAAGCTTGTACTCTGGTCAGCAAAAGACAAAACACCCAACAGGTTGAGCAGCTTGGTCTGACTCATTCCATCTGTGCTTCCCTGTTGGAGATTATGTAGTAGTCAATTAATTGGTCACAAGACCTATTCATATGGCTCTAGGCAAATGCAGTGACTTGCCCTCAGCTGCAAGGTTGCTCTGACATTGGCCACACCACCCTCTTTAATGGCTCTCATGTGAGCAAGTGTCAGCTGACAGGTCTTACTCTGCAACCTTGCAAAACTCTACGCAGAGCAAGTGAGGGAGATGGTTACACACAACAAAGGTAGGTCTTAATGTACAGGAGGTGATGTGGGGGAGGTAGAATAGGGACACATCCTTGCTTTAATACCAAATATACATATGTAGATATGTAAGAAAAATTTTATACATATACACACACACACATACATATGTAAGAAAATTAATAATAAATGAGAAGCCATAAACTCTCTCTCAACTCTTGCACTGAATTCCTGATTCCTGGATATATTCAGAACATGAAAGCCCTGAACCACCAGAACGCAAGGACAAAAGTAGTTCAGATTTGAATTCTGACACTAAGGTACTTCATCTGTAAAATGAAATACTGTTATAGAATCAACATGATTTATCCACAGTACTGAGTTCATGGAAAAAGTAATTTTTCTTTAAGAAGAAATAAAAAGCACAGGTCCCTAAAATATAGGTCAGATCTTGAAAACTATAAGGGATTGTCTCAACTCCTTTTCCTCTTCCTCATTCTTGAATTTGGCTGAAGAAAATATTAATAGATCCCTAAAATCTGATGAACCGTTGGCTGGGTCTCTAGTGTCAGGAGGATTTAAATATGTCTTTATACATGGCAGCCAAATATTTCACCCCACAAGTGTGAGAAAAATCTAATGCTATCGGGGCAGAGGCCTCAATTACCTTAAAGACATTATATCTATGTGACACTAAAGTTCCTTTATAACAAACCCCAAAAGATCTTAAATACACCCTCCCCTGAGAAATAAAGATTGCAACACACCTACAACAATGACTAGACTTCTCTGTGCATGTAATGAACGGACAGTGCCAAGATAAAACCAGATTAGTAGAAAATGAATTCATTTTTCCAGGAAGGGGAACACATTTTGACCTTAAAACTTAACTGTGTGGCCACCATGTGATCCTGGGTTCTTCTTTTTCCCCTGAACTGTCTTTAAAATCACTTTCTCTTCTTAACAGAGAATCAGAAGCTCACTTACGTAAGCACTCTTTAGTCTTCCATCTTAGGCACAGGGCAGCTGGATGAGGAAAGGCTCAAAGGAAAGCCTCCTTTCGCCATTATCATGCCCACTTCCTAAGCAGCCCACGTGAGGCCCCAAATCAGTGTCTCCAAATCACCTAGGCTTTACCTCCTTTAAAATCACAGGAGAAATGAAAGTATAGTTTGTCAAAAAGAAAACCACAGGCCCCAAAACGTGTTTCTCTGGCCAGACCAAGTCATCAGGCCAGAGCTCACCAACTAACTGAATTGCAGTTTCAACCTCCCCTAGCATTCTGTCTTAGCCCGTCAATCAGGAATTTTCAGATAAGCACCAAATAGAAAATCTACCGCAGGGGTCCCTTCCACCAACCCCCACAAAGGAAGTTGAGGTAATCTGCAGAGTGAGACCCCTGCCCTATCTTTCTTTTCTTTTGCTTATACCTTTCTTGATCCACCCTCCTTCCTATAAAAACTTTGCATTTTGTATGACTCCTTGGAACACCCCTCTCCATTTGCTAGGTGGGATACTGCTTGATTCATGAGTCATTTAATAAAGCCAATTAGATCTTCAAATTTACTTGGTTGAATTTTATCTTTTAACATGTTCAATGTTAATGAGGTGGCTGTAAAAATAGCAAAATAACTGAATTTTATAAAATATGTAGAAGTGCTTAGGGAATAGATCCCATTTTTTATATGTAAAAAATAAATTAAGGGTGCCTGGGTGGCTCAGTCGGTTAAGCGACTGCCTTTGGCTCGGGTCATGATCTCGGGGTCCTGGGATGGAGCCCCGCATCGGGCTCTCTGCTCAGCAAGGAGTCTGCTTCTCCCTCTCCCT